AGGTTACCTTTAATAGCGAGACTTTCAGCCAGAGGCTGGTTCATCTCTTTATTAGTCTACGTGTCCATCTACCGTTCTCTGCCGTGTTCCACTCCTGTTACCACTTAGCCAACGACTCCGCTCTCACAACTTTCCGTACTCTTCCGGCTTCCCTCCGCCTGTAGCACTCGCTGTCTTCCACTTTGAGGTTACGGCATGCCCCGGACGGTTATATCTTCCCGCTGTACTGCTTTACAGTTACTGTCCAATAGAACTTCCGTTTTATGATGGACTATCTGCAGCTTCGCTCCTTACATCCAGTTACCAATCATGTCGATCGCCTCGGTCGCCAGCACTTCCACCTCTTCCAGCGTCTCGCCTGTTACCGTCAAGACGATGTCGTCCGCAAAGCCAACGATCTCAACTCCATTGGGCAGCTTCAGCGTTAGCACGCCGTTGTACATCCCGGTCCAGAGCGTTGGATCAAGGATGGAGCCTTGTGGAACTCCCGCTGTTATCCTAATCGATCTCTGTCCCATGTCTGTCTGTCGACTAAACTGAAGCAAATTTCAATAATGGTGCGCTGATGCACTTCCCGTATTCGCATTTCCAAAAATGTATACACCAAAATTTTGACAATAGCAATAATTAACTACTGTACGTTACAATACTATAATTGACTACTGTACCTTAATAGAAAAAGTAACCTTTAAAAAATCTTTGTATGCAACAAACCTAAGAGGAAAAGAAGACAATACGGGGGCGAAAACGAATCACTCTTCTGTCAAACGCGAACCAGCTCGTGATTGGCCGATTTGAAATGCGTAAGATAGAAATAGAGATAAAAGAGTAAGTCAGTTGTCTCCTCATCCTCTTAGCAACAAACTAACAACCAAAGTCTTCACCGGGGTGATTCTCCCCGGTGAGGAAAACGAACTCTCTACGGTGCTCCGTAGTGATCACTTATACGCTCCGGTGTGTTGGACTGGTGGAGGTGCAAGGTCAGAAACTGTATTTGTTTGCGAAGTGGGAGAAGCGATAGAAACTGAAAACAAAATAAAGATCTCTCGGGTGAGTTTGCTTTTGTCATAGTGCGAGGTGTCTTTTCAACTCATCACCCTGCTTACACTGGGGAGAATGGCATCCCTGATCTTAGGGCAAGGTCTCCAGTGAAACAACACTGTACATGCTGCACAAGGGTAGAGGTAAATATTTGACACCACAGGACAGACTAATAATCACAGGGAGCAATTGAATCCTGCTTAAGATGCCGGATAGGGAGGAATAGTGTTTCAAGTAGGGGATAGTCGGAGTAACAGTAGTTAATAGTAAAAGTTGGAAAATAAACGTACAGAGGTTTTTTTTTTCCTTTATTTGTTTTTCCGTCGATCTTGTTTTCCGTGCTGAGCATCAATGCTACCGACGCCAGAGAGGCAGCTCCCACACCTGGACCCTACCTATCGACCCATCAACTCATGAACCGGGGACCAACGGCTTTACTTCCCTTCCGAAGGAAGGCGTGATCAAAGATTGTATGCCTCAGAACATCCTCGATTATTATTTTCAAACGATCTGAAAGTTTTGCTGCGCATCCCCTCACTCGCCGATTCTCTCCAAAATCAGATTGACATCTTTGCTGACTGGTGTAGTCTATACCGACTGGTGGTCAGCCCAGCTAAGTGTACAATCATTACTTTCTCACGCAAGAAACAACCGATTATTTACAACTACAAACTACTAGACACGACTATCGAACGGGTGCATTGGGTAAAAGACTTAGGCGTTTTTCTGGATTCAAAGCTGACATACTCACACCATATATCATAAGTCGTCGACAAAGCGTCCAGAACTCTTGGCTTTTACTAAGAACTTCACAGACATTTACTGCTTGAAATCGCTCTATTGCTCTCTCGTACGATCTACGTTGGAATACTGCTCTGCAGCCTGGAGCCCGAACTACAATAATGGGGCCGAGAGAATTAAATCTGTGCAACGACGTTTTCTTCGCTTAGCGCTCCGTAAGCTGCCTTGGAGATATCCACTTCGTCTTCCAAGCTACGGGAATCGCTGCCAATTGATCAATGTCGAACCATTACGAATCCGAAGAGATGTTTTCAGAGCCTTAACCGTCGCCGATACTCTGCAAGGAAGAATCGACTGCGAAGTAATTCTGCAACAAGTGAACATTAATGTTCAACCTCGATCACTACGCAACAGTCTTATCCTTCTTCGAACTAATTATAGCTTAGGGAGCGCTATTTACGGCTTGTAGCGAATGTTCAACCGAGTAGCGTCGATGTTCGATTTCCACTTGACACGGAATATGCTTGGCCGAAGTTTCTCTGCCTTTTTTGCTGACCGAAGGCGCTTGACGCCCAACAGCTAAGTGAAAATGTTTGGACTTATACATTTTTAGTAACTTGACAATGCTTTCCTTGTTATTTTCGTTTGTAACTGTATTATATGTAGTCTGTATAATCTGTACTTTTTTACAACACATCACTGTTGATGCAAACATAACAAATAAACAAATCAATCAAAATGAAGCATATAGGGGAATTTACGTATTCTCGTCAATCTAAGCAGCGTCCGCACTTCTATTAGCATTTTTTCAGCGTCACGCACATATATGGCGTGTCTGTTTGTTTATATTCATCTGCTACTTGCTTCTCTATCCATTCCAATGGACAGAATTTTTCAAAACGGTTTGAAAGCTTTTTTACAACGCTTCAAACTTCTCAGGTGAGTGTGACTATTGTCGGCAGTCTCTTTTTCTTCGGCAACCTTCCCATTAGAACTGCGTGTTAACCAGCTGTTCTATTATCGGCAACTCGAAATCAGCCCAATTTTGTAGTGCGTATGCTTCATTTGAAGAAAAATCTGGCATAATAGGATTTCTCGGTCGTACAAATATAATCAGATTGAAGCTGAAAGACTAAAGAATCGTTTGGATACATTCAGGGAAGGGTGTTGTTGGGAAAACATAGTTAAATTATCGTTTAAATTTTGGTTGCCGAAAACAGTCAATGTATGCCGAAGCCGGCATTTACCCTATAAGATTAGTTACAATACCATGTACAAAAATGGTAAATAACATTGTTCTCTGAGTAATACTTCAACGAGAAAACAACAATGAAAGCTTGTCACGCAAATAGAAGAAGCACTGTTGGTCACTTTCTGAAATATTTCAATAGTTTAATTCCCTTGCAAACCCAAATAAATCTATCTGTGTAAAACTAAATAAACTAAGAGTGATTTGCGGCAACACCTGCCAGTATCGCACCCAACGTCAGTGCCTACACGTAAGCGTACTACAATGCGACTCTCAAACAAAGGAGTAACAAGAGTGATACTATCACTGCCAGACTAGATCTTTGTTTCTCTCATGCAGTGGTTCATCTGAGAGGGGAAGCCTTGTAATCCCCATCGCCTGCCCATGGCACCATTCTATCGCGGCATGAGCCAGCAACGCCGGCCATAAACCAACCGTCTCCAACACTCCACTATAAAGCATAAAATTAAGCCCGCCCACCAGCACCAAGGTGCAAAATCTATGTAAGGGGAAGGGCGAAAGTGACTTAAGTGACTTGGTCTTGAAAAAGAGACTTATTAGTGACTAACAGCCCTGTAATCAGCTGCAACTTTTCACAATCAGTGATGAAATTGTGTTGATCCATGTACATCTTGACGTCGTCAACTTAGAATTGGACATTAGCATTAGACAAGAAAATTCATTACTTTATTGGGGAACACCGGAAACGGTCGAGAATACCTACTTCAGAACGAGTAGTTCTCATCTTAACGTAAAGCGAGCGGTCCGAAAGGTACGATATGAACCACTGAATGTCTCAAGCTTGCTCAAAAGATTGCAGTGATCCACTCGAAAAAAATGCAGCCTTGGGATCAGATCAGTGTATACAACATCTACTTGTCCACCAGAATTCATGGTTTGACCGCAGAGCTACACGAATTTGGTCAAATTTGTCGTAACTAACCGTTTTAGGTAGAATCCATGCTGAGCCATGGAAATTTAGTTTTTACAAGATCTGAAAAGGGCCTATCTCGGATACTTTGGAGCAGCAACATAATGATGTGACTCGCCTCTGTAAATTTAGTAGTCGCCTTTTCTGTAAACAGAGTACTTATACGAAAATTTTCACGCGTCACGAAATTTACTCTCCTACAAAGACAAATTAAATAGCATCGCCAAGGGAGTGCAGCGTTCGGAAAAACTTAAAAACTCAAAACTCATGCATGAGTTTATGCGCCTATGAGTTTTTCCTTGCAAAATTTTACGTCGCAAAAATCACCAATGAGTTTTCAGGTTCAAAAATTCATTTATTTATATTTTGGCATTATTTATTGTTATTACTATTGTTTGTGCATCAGGGGTTGGAGAACTAACAAAACATGCATAACCATGGTATCAATTGACGTTTGAGTGGTTTTTATGAGTTTAAAGTTAGAGTGATTTTCCTACGTTGTGAGTGTGAGTTCGTGAATATACTTGAGAATCTCAAGCGTGAATTTTGTTTGCCACATTAGCACGTGAGTATATTCTCGCAAGGAGACTCAATGAATGAGATTTGAGAATGATTTCCCGAACACTGGGAGTAAGCAACGTTTTCGAACACAACTTCAGAACGGAGGCAGGAATGCCGAGAGTTTCAACCTTTGAAGAGCCAGATTGATGGTATATTCAATAACGTGAAAAGAACGGAGCTCGAATGTATCTCTTTGAGTGTATCACTTGTGACAATCTTAAATTGATTTGGTGAGGGCCAAGGTTTCGTTGAATGAACTCATGAAATGTTGAGCAAAGAGGCGACACTTTTCAGCTTCAAAACTAGTAGCTTGCTCACCGAGGATGAACCGGCTGATTTTGTTTTTCATAAATGATTCAGATTTCTACGAAGAGATGAGTGCGTTCGGAATACATATCGTTGATATAGGAATTTGAACTTGAACTAGTACACATGCACACTAGAGAAGCAAACAAAACAGATTTATTTCATACTTACGTAGGAACACCTTTTTCTTAGTCTGCCAGTAACGAACGCATTTGGCCAAAAACGGATGATGTCCACAAATAGTTTGAATATCAACTTCGTCCTTCAGCTGGCGAATTGCATTACCGTTGATAATCTAAAATCGATCATTTAAATTGGTTAAAATTTGCATGAAATGATACAGTTTATAGACAATGAGATGTAAACAGGTGAGGTTATTTAATCTGCTGTAGAACGAAAGAGACGGAAAATTTTCATTGCCTCGCCTGTTTACATCGACACCACCATGGTTTACACATACCTCTGATTTACTAAAAACTTTCAGTGCAAAATCCTTCTCTTCTTCACTCTGAGTGATACTCCTTACTCTAAACACTTTTCCAAAAGCTCCATTAGCAACGTGATTGACTATGCTATATTGACGCTCAGCGTTACTATCTATCGGAAAATGTGGCAAAAAAAGCGCTTCAGCATGCGTAACTGGCCAACATGTTTTCGACAGAAGCCTATCGTCAGCTAGTGTTGAGTCATGCCACCTATAATGGGGGGAAACAGTTTTAAATAAAAGTATTCTTTATAATGATTTTACACTTTAAGTTCATAAGGTGATGGAAGAATTCGTACGCTTCCCTTGTCTTGTAATCTGATAGGTCAACATTTTGTTTACAATTATCTTATAATGAATTTATACTTGAGGGGATTCGTAGGAAAGGGGTGTAAGTAACAAACAGAAACGAACACTCTTATAAAAAAATATAATAGTCACTAACTTTCCTTCTAACTTCCTCAACTTCTCTTTGACTTCTTGATCTATGATGACCTTGATAACAGATTGAACCAAGGAGTGATCTGATAGACGATACACAACTCTAATAAACTCTGATAGTCAGGTTCTTCAAAACTGAAGAAAAACTCGACAAACGAAGAAGATCAGTTGAGATTCATTTTACGCAATCTTATTTTGTCGAGTTATTCTTCATTAATGTATCAAACCTGCCAGTCATCACATTATCACATTATCAAAACAAATAAAAACAACTCTAACCCGCATAATAACCTCACGGTGAGTTATTTTGTTTACTAGCTTGTATTTTGCCGGCTTTTACGACAAATACCTAACTGTGAAAGGACATGAATGACTTGACATTTATAGCATTTCATATGTTTCCCATCATATAGAATTTTAAATAATAGATTTTATTAGCATGGATAGAACATTAAGATGCTAACATTTCATTAGGGCAAATCTGCTTTTGTAAACAATGATTTCAACCGCCGAATTCTTGAAAATAACAGCCCGCTCTCCAAACTAATAAATTTACGGCTAAATTCATTGATTACAAAAGCAGTTTTGCGCTTTTGAAATATTGGAAAATTTATATTTTTTACTAGCTACATTTATTTTAAAATAAGAGAAAATGCTAATCCTGGACCAATAAACTACCAGTTTATGTTTAGCGTTGGCCTGTCGAGTATATACATGAAATACGCAAAGCAAGATTACGCTTCTCACAGCTGATCATTCATTACAATCATGATCATTGCGTTACTCACAAAGGAAAACAACAACAAGCACAGTCATAAAGCCAACACCATTATTTTACTTTATACTGTACCTTCTTCGTGAAACACGACTCCAAGGTCGACTGCAGGATTGATCGGTTGAATGCCTTTTGTGTGATCCAGTTGTGTTCAAGGACGTGCAGGATAGTGAGCTGTAAATCCTTCGGAAGCTTTCATTCAAACGACCAGATAATCCATCCAAGCTGATCGAACGTCTCAACTGAAATCATTATCGAGGAAAAAAAATGTCACATGGAAAGTCGAAAAAGGTTTAGGTTTAAATGTGGAAATTAAATACACGAGAATCCTCCACTTCCATTGAGATTTGAACTTGCGTGTGTATTTAGATGTTCACGAAGAACTTTGAATCCGCAGTTAAGAAAATTTCCGGATCACACTAATGAAGTCCCAGGACCCAGGTACTCGATATGATTGATTTTTGATATTCAATTCTCATAACATTTGACTTAGCTAAGAATGATGGGTGTGCGCTGAGGGTTACATACCGAGTGTGTCTAATGTGAGTACCAATAGGGTCAAATCCAACCCGTTGGAAAATGGTACGAGTACGAGACATTTCTATCCCGGGAATTAAGCCTGGTAAATAGGCCTTTTGTCAGGACTAAGAGTACACAAATTGAAGGGGTAGTATATTTTTTACGGTTGATTTTCATGATTTTTTTGCAACCGAGCATAACTGCTGGCAAAAAAATCGCATAAAAACTTGAGAGTAAACAAATTACTTTTCAGCCATGAATCATGACCCTAGTGGTTTAAAGCCCTACAGTTCAAGTATGGACGTCTGTCAAAGTTGTTCCAATCGAACCGTCAAAATGCACCGCTTTGCATTAGAACAGCTTTTTTTCAGTTTTGTGGTTGGTTACAATCGTCCATACTTTAACTAGAGGGCTTTATAGTGGATAGGTACCTATAGATATGCAAATGATAAACGTAAAACTCGAAATATTTACCTCTGTGTGGTTTGCCTTATTTTGAGCTGCTACACTTGTCGCTATCAAATGAGATGACGATGACGATGATGATTTCGCACAAGCAGCTTCCCTTAATTCTTGCTGGTTCTGAGTAACTGAGTTGCTGCTGCTAGCGTTTCCCATAAAATGACAAAGGTGCTGAACTGTTTCTCTATTTGCGAACAGCTAAAATCGAAAAATCCGCATACTTCTGCGCGTTTCCGCAGGAAAATAACAAACACTACCTCTTCCGATTACTTTTATCAAACCATTCCACAGCTTTCCAACCATAAACACACGAAAATTTTAGACTAATTTGCAAATTAAACGATGAAATCTAAATTTTATATTTTTCCGTTTCTTGTCTTACGTTTTGTTTGGCACTTTCACAGCTTTTTCGCTTTTCCTTGAAAAATGACGAAAATGAAAGATGAAACGTCAAAATTTGACGTTTCATAATTAATCAAGCTGGACATTGCATTACGTCCTAAGCTAGGGGGGGATGTGCTGTCAAATCAGCCTACTGATCATCTTGTATGAAACTGGCTCCAAACGTAAACAAACCCTGTAGGTTTCTTATGGCTTGTTTACGTTTGGAACCAGTTATGCGAGGTAGGCGAAGATTGTTCGTATTTGACAGCCACCTCCCCCCCTTGGTCCTAAGTAACATTTATCGATTCTCTTCGTCGACTTTCTCTTTCGATAATAACTTGATCCCAGAACCGTTTCTTGCAGTGTTTGTTGTATTGAATGCTAGATATTGCTGATTGCATATGAAACTGGACTGTCCCAAAAATGCAAAAAGTGTGATAAAAGTGTACGTTTCCGTCAAATCGTTTTGATGTCTTCGGAGCACTTATTGCTTGCATCATAAAGAATAAGTGCACCGAAGACACCAAGACGATTAGACAGTTTTTTGTGCAGTGCAGTTTTATCACACTTTTTAATAAGTGAAAACGCGCTTATTAGTCCAATTTGGTGTGCAACAGGCAATAACAGCTTCATTTATCAATCTGTGTGCTGAAAATACCTAAGAATGTCTTTACTTGGCCGTGGGAATGCAAAGAGAAAGTCGACGACGAGAATTTGTCAATTTTACCTACGACCTAATGCAATGTTCAGCTTGAAATGCCTTTGTATATTAATATTGGGCGTCTGAGTTCGGAAAACTCAACACTGAAACAAATGTTTTAGAGCAACCGTAACGGTACGCTGCTAAACTCATTTTAGCAGCCCTCATCATAGCGCAGCTACCGTATCGGGGGTTGCCATACACGTAACTAAAATAGCAGTCGGCTTCTCGGTGAGAAGCGCGCTACCAAATTTAGCAGCGCGGGAGAAAGGTTGCTATTCGTAGAAATGTCAGAATGCTCTCTACCGGTACGGACAAAGGCGAGTAAATTGATAACCGCGATAGCAGCGACCGGTGTGGAGAAGAGTGACTAAACTAAAATGAGAGCGCTGTGCGCTGTTAAAATAGTCGCGCAAATGACAACGACCGTTACGGTTGCTCAGTAACTACACTGAAACAAGGACCATACCCCAATAAAAATAACTATAAAAGAGAGCTTAACGACGTGTTCGGGGTATCATCCAAACCATTTGTGGGATAGTTTACCCATCCGGGATACAGTTCGTTTACAGTATTTGTTTATTAGGGTAGTTAAACCAACAATCAATACGAAACTAACGATTTTTAATTGGCTCACTACTTGACTAGCCTATTGGTCCCAAGCAAATCGATTAACGTACCCCATCCTAGTCAAAATTCCAGTACTACACTATGTTTGTTTTGATTCGCTATGAAAGTTTGACAGATAAAATGAGGGGCTAGTGGATTTTCCTATGTTTCGAGGGGTGAATCGATTAGCTTGGGACCGAAGATAGTACCAGAGCTGAGCCAAAAAGTTGACCACGTTTCTTCGGGACCAACTAGTCTTACAGTTACCTCTATGGTTAAACTTAGAAACACTGGAATAATAGCAACAATCAATACGAAAGTAACTATTTTAAATTGGCTCACTACTTGACTACCCTAATAAACGGGAACCATACACTAGCAATATCATAGATACACGGATACGAATTTTGTTCATTCAAAACAAAAATATAAATGTTTATACTCTAAACATATAAATTCTAGATAGAGCTGGAATAAGGGCGTAACAGCTTTTGTAAACAATGACTTCTCTTGATGATTTCTTGAAATTCAAGGCTCACCCACGCAAACCAACATCCTCATCGGCTAGGGAAAGACTTTCCCTATACACAGCAAAAAAAAATGTAATATCGATCAACGTAATTCAAGCTGATGTATGAAATAATGATGTAATAGCAAAAAGTAGGTACAATATTACATCAATGGATGTAATTTTGTTCGCAAAATCGATGTACATCGTACAATGTGATATTACACAACCGATGGATTGACCTGGTTGCATCAGTTTCGATGTAATATTCAACAACTTTTTTTGCTGTGTACGATGGTTATGTTGGTCTGCGTGGGCGTGCCTTGAATTCCTAGAAATATTCGATGGAAGTCATTGTTTACAAAAGCTGCTACGCCCTAATTCCAGCTCTATCTAGAATTATTCAAAGTGAATGGATCAATGAAAATGCTGAGTTTTTGACAGAACTATGCTGTGGCTACCACAGTATTTTACATTTGATCATCCATATACAGTAGCGCCAAAAGCATGCTGTGGTGGTTTCAAAACTTGACCATCTAAAATGATCAATTGAAAGCATCTTTAAAACTAAAATATTTATGTTTGAATTAAATTCATAAGCATGTTTATTTCAACAATATAGGATTTGGGTAAACGGTTTTTAGCGTGTCATCACAGAACAGAAGGGGAAGTGCAAACAAATCGGTGAATCAAAAAGTGCTCGTTTTTCTGCTCAACGAGCGATGTGATGTGGTAGCGTTCCACATGGGCTTTCTATGTGCACTCACACTATCATAGCATGCTGCCTATCTTAACTGCAGGCCGAAGATGCCTTCTACCGCTAGGTGCGCTAGTGTTCGCAAATGACCAGTGGAGCCACTTTCTGATTCGAAGTTCCACTCCTGTGGTGTCATGCCTTTTTATTTCCTTCTTGTTACATTCGGAAAAAGTTGCCCCAGCTTTGCTCAACCTCAACAGAAAACGGCCATCCATTCCGAATCCATTCCGGATCCTCCTCCGATACCGAACATGGAAAGAAACCGGTATGAGGACCAGTGGCAGAAACGGCAAAACGACGCTTATAACACAAATTTGTACCGGTTCCACTGGACTGGACACCCACCCCAACGGGTCCTCGCATCCCGGACCAGGACCCCAATACCCACAGGTCACCCTTAATCGCACCCGAAAAAGAGCAGGAATTAAGATGCCCTGCCTGAAGATCTTTGTTTTTTTTTTTCATTTCTTTGCAAACCGTTTTATTTTGCTTTACCCTGCACTCAACTACTTAATAATTCCAAAATATGTATGTTTATTTTAAACATGAGAAGCATGTTTAAAATAAACATATTTATTATTGTTCGCATAGCTGTCAAACCAAACAAAAATAAAAAACGTTTATTTTCAACATGAATATTTTTGAAATAAACGTAACATTATTTTTATTTTAAACATTGATTTCACATGACTTCAAACATGGAATACGTTTGAAATGAACCTAATTTATGTTTGTGGCCAGAACAAACCTTGCTTTAACGCATACACTCAATGCTGTTTATGTTTACTGCAGCTTTCCTGTTTGTCATCATTTTTGCCTAGATTTTCGTTTTCGGCTTTTGATGATAAAAATGGCACTGGACGTTTCCCCAGCAGCAAACCCGGAAAAAAATAACAATACAATTACCATAGAATAAAATACAATTACATCAAAATCTATTGCCAACAATCGATCTTATTGTACACATATTGTACAAGAAATTTTACCATATTGTCATTACAATCGATTTACAATACGTCCCATATAGTAATAATTTTCAACAATAAAACAACAATACAATTAATGGTAAATGGTTTATCTTTGTTCGGGAAAAAGTAATTTTTCCTATGGTTAAGATACATAACAACCCCCTTGTTCTATTGTAGATTTACCCATTTACCATAGATTCTATAGTGAAAACAATACATTCTATGGTTATTTTATCGTTGTAGACAATATGATTTATTGTAAATACAATAAATTCTATTGTATGGTTAGAATACATTTCATTGTGCCTCTGTGGTTCTTTTTTTTACGGGAATCTATCCAAGTTGAAGGCTCATGGCGAATCGAGCGTAGTACGACCATGGAACCATCACTCTGAGACTCCGTTTACAGAAGCGGCGTACCCTAATAAAAATAACCATAAACGAACGATAACCCAAATCATTGAACTATTCCACAAATGGTTTGGATGATACCCAGAACACGTCGTTAAGCAAATTAACCATACAATTTTTATTAGGGTAGTCAGTCGGTTCCCGTTCCATTGGAGGATAGCACGTTGGTTCGCATAGACGAGGAAGAATTCTACGCAGCCGTGTACCGAATTTATGGAAACAAAGAGCGAATTTCGGTGGCGGTGGCCAGCAAGATCACCATGACATGCCTTTCGTGCGAAATCAATTGTTGATCAAACGAATTTCAGAAGTACACTTAAAACCAACAAAACAACAAAACAACTGTCAGACTAAGCATAAGATTCGCAAATATCACACATATTAAAATATTTAATATTTCCACCATTGGAAACTTGGAGCTTGGAGCTGTCCTTCCCCTAGATAAATTCAGAATAGTTGACTATGAAGGTTAACAAATTTTCTAAGATTGTTCAAAATGCATAGTAGTTTTGATAGAAATAATATTAAAATTAAATTAAATTGTTTTCTGCAAAAATCTATTGGTGAGGGTATTTAATTTAATACCCCGTTCACATTACAGCTTATATCACGTAATAAAGGCTGTCTTGCAATAAGCACTCATGCATAGGATTTCCTGTGAAAACTAGATTTGTATGAGTGCTCACAACAACTAAAATGAGAGCGCTGTGCGCTGTTAAAATAGTCGCGCAAATGACAACGACCGTTACGGTTGCTCTTAGTTTAGTCACTCTTCTCCACACCGGTCGCTGCTATCGCGGTTATCAATTTACTCGCCGTAGTCCGTACCGGTAGTGAGCATTTTGACATTTCTACGAATAGCAACCTTTCTCTCGCGCTGCTATCGCGCTGCTAAATTTGGTAACGCGCTTCTCACCGAGAAGCCGACTGCTATTTTAGTTACTCGTATGGCAACCCCCGATACGGTAGCTGCGCTACAGGCCACTGACAAGGTCTATACCAACAGCAGCGTTTGACAGTAGGCAGAATGTCCCGGGCTCAAATCGTTTATTCTGCTGTGCTGGGCCCGCTGTCATAATATAACATGTTGCCTACGCGCCTGCCACTGGGTTGCTGCGCTATGATGAGGGCTGCTAAAATGAGTTTAGCAGCGTACCGTTACGGTTGCTCTAAGCGTGTATTTATTTCTGAAGTGTCAAATTTAAGTGCGTCGATCAAAAACATAGGACCTTTTGAAATGTTCATCATGCGTTGAATTATTCATTGGTAATAGGAATGGGCGTTTTGAAACAAAAAATCGATGTTGTCGAATCGATTCTAAAACTGACTATAAAATCGATCCTCTAAAATATCGAAAGAAAAAAAAGTCGATTCGAGTAAAATCGATTTTTTTTAAATATATGAATTATGCTTTGTAATCTTCTATTAGACGAAATATTCCTCTTCCTGTTGTTTTAGTGTATGTGTGTGAGCATTTATTTGTATAAAACCGATTCACAAAAACAATTGCACTCTATTTAAATATTGAAACCGAATTATTAAGAAATATTGCGAATATTTAGCTTCACAGTTAGAAATACTTAATTTTACATGTGACGGAATCCATCTTTGACATAAAAGATGAGACGTAAACAAACATGTAATGTAAAATTAAATGCTCCGAGACAGAAAAGTTCGTTACTCGACGAAAAATACGTTTTATTGAGTTGAATTTCACGTCTATTATGACACAATTTTATGTCAAAATTGACGCTCGTATATGTCAGGCTCATAGCACCTAAATTTACATGATTTTTTCTAAGTGTGTTATTCAACTTCAACTCTATATCTGAGCTTTCAAAATCTTCTGTACACACTTAGAAATTTTTAAAGAAATCTGTAAAATTTTACCGAAATCTCAACAGCTGAACGTTCGGTAAACAGTTTCGCAGATTTCCTGTAATGTTTCACAATTATCTGTGAATTTTTAACAGATATCTGTAAATAATTACAGGAAAACTGTAAAATTGTTTACCGAACGTTCAGCTGTTGAGATTTCGGTAAAATTTTGCAGAAATCTGTTAAATAATCTTAGTGTGTAGGTATTAAAACTCACCTTTCCAATGTTTTTTTGCATCAAGGAGTGCGTGTTTTTTTTTTGCAAACAAAATCAGCTGGATGAATTAGAAAGAATTGGTCAAAAGTACACACAACATAAAAAGTAACAAATAAATAAAGCCCAAGATTGAAAGGGTGTTTAGCAAAATTTAAGGACGATGAAATTACAATCGCTTGATTTTAAATAAAAACATATTTTTGGGATAGTGAAATACCATTTTGTTTATCATTTTTTTTCAAGAATTCAATGATAACATTTGATTCAACATAATCAACAACAACATAAAAAGAGTTCGGCGATTTTATTTTCTCTTTGGTAATTTAGGCGTTTTGTTTTTTTAAAATGCTTTATAAAAAAGTTTAAACGAGTAAAAAATCGATATCAACTTTGAAAAATCGATTCTGTCAAACATCGAACAGAAAAAGATCGGATGGAAAAAATCGATTTTTCGAGGCAAAAAAATCGATTCTGTAAAAATCGCATCGAAATCGCCCATTCCTAATTGGTAATAATATTATCCTCGTTGTTGTCTTTCAATGCTTTTCGATTTTAGATTGAGATTAACAGCATTATAAAAAAACAATAAATACTACGAAGGAAGTATTTACGGATAAAGGTCTTGCAGGTAATTGTTTTCATATTATTTATATAAACACTCGTAAAATGATCCAACTATTGATTCTCTAGAAAATGAAGACATTGGAATTACGCCCGGATCGTTCCCTTCTGAAGCCTAACTTCGATGGGTACAAGCTCTCTCTAGAGCCAATCCCAATCCTCCGAACGGATCTGACGGGACCTTCTCAGCCAAATCGTATCCGACCAAGTGAAAGCCAGTACTCGCATCTTCACGCTCAAGTGTTTGGGCTCCAGAACCTCTTGGTGCGTGATTCTTGGGCACCCGGAAATTGCTACTTCGTTGATCAGAACCGGCGTGTTTGTTGGGTTCAGTATAATGATATTACTGGACAATTGATGCCAGTGGTCGAGGTATTCAGCATGGATATGGAAGAATCCGAGGAAGTCTACAATAGTTCACTGGTTTTCCTATCTGAAAAGTATGCCCTCGTAGCAGACGGTCGGAAAGTACTACATCTAGTCGATACCGGAGATCGTCGAAAGGGAGGTGAGTGGAATGTAAAGTTTACTTGCACTGCTCCAGAGTGGCCAGGGTGTTGCATTCTTGTGGATGGTAGATTTGAGATCATCAACGGCGAGAGACAAATTCATGCTATAGGTGCTCAAGTAGTGCAAGAGGATGGATCGTTCAAAACGGGTTTGTACTGGGTTAAAGCGGTTCAAAAAGATAGTAATCAGCCTTGGGTGTTTCACTCCAGTCAAGTATTGAAGGGGCGTGGGTATCCTTACTATTGTGCTCTTGAACCCAAAAGTAAAGGTCTGGTGATTGCCAGTGATAAGCCATTCAAATTTGTGACAAACCTGGACGAAGCGCCGATGGAACAAGATGCTATACCAGACGAAAATTCCTGTCCTGCAAAAGTACTTTTCAGTTGGTCGCAAACAACAGAAGATATAATCATCAAAATTCCTAAATCGGATGAAGTTGAATACCAAGTGTCCAACCATAACCTAAAACTGAGGGCCTTATCTGGGGAAACAACAATCATTGACGGAGAAAGTTGGTTTGCTGGCATTGATGCGGAATTGACGTCTTGGACGAACGACTCGGATGAAATTCAGATAACATTGTACAAAGCGAATCCAGGGATAATGTGGCCTTTATTGTTTCCTGGAGCTCCCGAAGAAACTGGTAACCGCGTGGAACACGATATGCCACCGGCATCGAATCTTACTTCTCAACTGGAGGAATGTGATTTTGGAGTCGCTGGAGATGAAACAGAATACACTATCGAAAGGTTGGATGATACTTCCATGGAAACGACACACAAAGTGTTTCTCGGCGGTAATGTACCATTGTTTAGGGTAATGTTAAGACCGGGATTTCCAGATGCTTTAGCGTTACGTTACGATGTCGATGCGTGTCTCTGGCTTCAGCAATCCGGAGAGGACTGGTCACTGAGACACGAAGGGACTCTACATGCCTTTGGCTACGTACAGGCTTCCAAGCAACAAAGAAAGTTCATGTCTTGCTCGCCGGATGTGAACTATGCTGTTATTTGTGAAGCTCAGCGGCATGTTTTCATCTATAAGGGAAGCTACAACAGTGCAGGTGGATTGAGAAATCGAAACGGACCTCAAGTTAGCATCGGTCAGCAGAAACTGGTTTCCCTGGAAGGAAGCAGCGAGATTCTAGGCATTTGCTGTGAGAATGATTACACAATATTGCTTTTGGAAACCGAAATCCTGGTGCTGCAACTTTGCATCGAAGAGTAAAAATAAAACGATTGGGATATTCTAGCAGACATGTTCTATTATTTGATATTGTAAATTGTGAACGCATTGTCTTCGTTTCAAAGTGAATGAGTTATGGTGATTGAATGAAAGGCTGGGTAATGAGATTGCAGTTTTAAGGAAACAATCTAGCCACATCCTTACAAGCCGAACGAATATCGGGAAACTGGTACTCATATCCATATTCTTGTACACGTTTCGGCACCACTTTGGCGCCATTGGTCAGCAAAACTGCACGTTCTTTGCTGAAAATGAGATTGAGGACAAATTCCGGCAACGGAAATAATGCTGGACGAATCAAGGCGGATGCAAATGCCTAAAACGACACTTTTTTAGTAATCAAACTGTATGTGGTTAATATATACCCACCTTGGTGAAATCGCGATTCGAAATCAACTGGGGAGCAACTCCGTTTAGTACTCCACTGACTTCCGGTTTCTCAATCGCGAATTTTATTAAATGGCAAATATCCTGTATGTGAATCCACGGTAAATCATGACTTCCATCTGCAATGGGGCCGCCCAGTCCGAACCAAAACGGCAAAATCAACGACTGTATCATGCCACCTTCCCGCCCAATCACGACTCCGCTTCGAACCTTCACCACACGGCAGATAGAATTATCCGATAGGTTTGCCGCTTTCTCCCATTCCGTACACAATCGGGACATAAAGTCGAATTCAACCGTTTTCGATTCTTCAGTATTCGGCTCCGATCCTGCTGCGTAATGGCTTACTCCGCAAATACTGACAAACACTTTTGGCTTAACCGTGGCCTTCTCGATGGCTCTGGCACAGGCAGCCGTTGTGTTGATCCTTGAGTTCCAGACATTCTGCTTGAAACCTGACGTCCATCGTCTTGTTGGATCCAACACATTTTGACCGGCTAGATTGACCACAGCCGACGTTCCTGCTGGGAGGCCATCTTTCTCCAAATCATGCCAGGTCATATGTTTAACTGCTGGCATTCGTGAGATGGTAGTAACGTCGTATCCATCGGCTCGGAGAATTTGCACCAAGCGCTTACCAATGAATCCGGTGCCACCTCCTAAAAATGTAAATCAATATGAGTAGGTGTCTGACTAGTTGCTAGAATAGAAGTATTTTTAAAATTATATAACACGCAAAAATCCTTTCCAAGGACCTACCAGTTGCAGGTTCATTGTCACTTACCTATTACTACATGTTTCAGGGCCATGAAGGTCACTGTGGATCAAATATACTGTACGTTTATTATGTTAACGATATTTTACCATAAGAATCCTTATTTTTGCGTGTCGAGAGACAACAACTCTACCTGTTTTATTTGAGAAACTGAAAGTATTTTGCACTTTGTGATTATTTGTAAATATTCTTTAAGCCGATGTCAGCTGATTTTGACAAATTTGCTACACACCAAAAGTCAGCTAGCGAAAAAAAAAACACTACAGTGAGTGTTGCAGTTATGGCAACACTCATCGTTTTGGTTTCCATTACCCTATAAACGGAGACCATAAATGAACGATATTACAAATTGAATTTTTGTAGCATAAGATTGTAAACAAATGCATATTGTAGCATGAGATTAAAAAAATATATATATGAGTTTATTGGATTCACTAACATCCCTAATAAACAAATACCATAAACGAACTGTATCCCGGATGGGTAAACTATCCCACAAATGGTTTGGATGATACCCCGAACACGTCGTTAAGCTCTCTTTTATGGTTATTTTTATTAGGGATGTTGATTCTCTTGAGCAACAATGGAAAAGAAATGGTTAACACTAAATACCCGTCTATTTTTATTACGTTTATTTATAAGGCCCATTTGCCTATTAGGCATTGCTTGGGCCGATGAGCATTATTAACAATTAGATCCCTTATCGCTTTTATTTTTCAAATAAAACGTAGTTACCTCCTATTCCATAAGTTGCTTCGTTGTCGACCGTGATGTACGATGGAATGGCGCTTTCGAGTCGCATTCGCAAAACTCGAACACCGCTCAGGAATCCTGGGAAGTAGTGCTTCCATTTCTCATGTCGACTGGAAATCACTGTCCCGTACTTTGCCATGTGGTTCATAACAGTGGCTTGTGGCAATGCCAGAGGAAGGTCATGCACTCGAACGGTCACTGCTTCACAATCCACCTATACCGGGATTTTGAACTCACTCTTCGCACAGAGAATCGCGTGTTTATAGTTGTGCGCCTTTTCATAACGCAAGGCAACTTCATTGTCTATAATCTCAATAAAAACACAATTTCGGACGTTATGAAACTGAAGGCATCTAACGTCCGAATATTGAAGCTTAATATTGTTCTTGCACTTTTCCCGCATTGGAACGAACTGGAAGGACACTGAAGTCAACAACAAGTTTGTTTTTACGAACTACACTCATTTTCACCAAGTTAAGCAGAGCAGAAAGCACACGTCCGATGAATACGAGTAATGGCTGTCGAATGATCCGTCTTGAAAAGGTTTATTTTAAGTATTGATGTATTTTTAAGCTTTGTGTATTTTTATATTAAAGTGTATTCAATTAATTATGAAATGTATTTCTCGTGTACAAAGTATTTTCGATGTATTTTTGAGCATTCCCTAATATAAATTGTAAGGTTAATTTGCTTAACGACGTGTTCGGAGTATCATTCAAACCATTTGTAGAATAGTTCAATAATTTGGGTTATCGTTCGTTTATGCTATTTTTTTAATAAGGTATTTTAGATTCAAGGTGTACACATTTACGTATTTTTTGTGTATTTTCCGAAGTGTGTATTCAGCTGATTTATGAAGTTGATCGCCCCTCGACTTAATAGACAGATTTCACTGGAAGACCGTTGAAAATTACGTATAAAAACTATTTGTTCGAATATATTTTTGACGTAGGATTTACGTCTTTCGGCAATATATTGGGGGTGCAGTTTCACCAAAATCGACCGCGTTACAAAAAGCTGTCAGGTTTTGACCAGTAGTCAATAGTGGATGAATTTTAATTCTGAACAAGCCAATCGATTGGAAATTTTGCTGGAAAGAACACTATCAATTTTCAATAAGTCACAATTTAAAATTACACAAATGTCAAACTGTTGCAATGATGATCAAAATTATCACCAATTGCCTGCGAAAAGCGCTTTCCCTAACACAGATTTCAAAATCGAATCGTACTACAAATCTACGGTAGTGTCTTGGATACAACCTCTTACTTTTTTATGTTCATAAGTTATTGTTTATCGCATAGCTTATTGCGTGCTCTCAACTTAATGTTTTAGATGCACCCCAACAAACAATTGCCTATTGTAGAAACGACTTCTTGACGATTTTATTCAACTGCATGGTTAATAATACTTATACTATTTTGAATAATAACTTCTGTTCAGGCTTTGTTCACACAAATCTGGAGAATTTATTCAACCACAAAATCAAAATATTTGGTTGAATAAGGTATGTCGAGAAGCTTTTATTCGACTTACAAGAGTTGTAAACAGAGCTTATTCGATCAAATTTTTGATTATTCAGCGTTTATTAGACATCTGTACTGCCTTAAACAGCGATGGTATAAAGGTGTATATAGACGCTTGATTCTCATGTGAAATAATGTTTAATTATTACATCATTATACGTTTATTAAACGATTATTCAACTACGGGATAATTAATCCGAAAATAAGAACGGCACGGAGCAGGGTTGTGTTCTCTCGTTAGTCTTTTTTTTTTTTTTTTTTTTTTCTTTATTATAAAGATTTTTAGCCTGATTCTAGTTCATCTCTTATTCTCTCGTTAGTCATTATTTCTGTCAAATTTATTTTACATACATACACACACATGTCGTGGGATTCGAACCATGACCTTCCGATCACCAGCCGCTTGCCTTGCCATCTGAGCTATCCTAGAATACATCATATGAGCAGCTAAATAAGCAATAAAAGCTTGAATCGGAAAACCTATCAGTACTTCCAGCCGTAACTCTAACTAATTCAAGGAGATGTGAGAATGATTAATTCATTCATAGTTATTTAAAATTTGACCATCTCTCTAAATATAATTTCGATGGAAAGGATGCTATTCTTTTCTATAGATCTATGAATTGGTTGTCGTAAGTGATACGATTTACGATTACGATTTAAATTAATTAGGAGTAGAACATAAATAAAAAAAGGGTTGAGGCTGGGATTGAACTCGCGACCTTCTACTTGGAAAGTGGAAACGGTAACCACTATGCTACCAATTTCGTTTTGTTGTTAGCCTGAAGCACTCTTGTGGAATAATGAATGAATACGCCGTTTGTAAAGCATTTATAAAGCGTGCAATTAAAACATGGACGCATAGTGGTATAAGAGCTATTATGCTGACTGTATTCACCTTTATTCAGCAATATTGTTAAGCAATGCAATGGAATCTAGTAATGGAGCTAGAAAACAATTATTACACGTATAATAAAGCATGTTATTAAATCAATTGAAACAGTCGGATTAAAGCGTAAATGTATGTGCAAATTACACTTATTCAGTATGTTATTAGATCAAACTTCTGGTGTTGAATCAGGAAGACAGTCATCGTTTGTATAGATTTTAATAAGTATATTATCAGAGCAATCCGCGAAATAAAGGCGCATCATCGATCTCAATGAGGTTTTCTGAGCACATAATTTGACAACCCAGTTTATTCAGCATTGTACACTGTTATAAAGCATTTATTCAATCTATATGCTTATTTGTGACTCTGAATTGTTTTTGGGCAGTGTTGTGGAATAATGAATCTAATACGTGGTTTATAAAGCATTTACAAAGCATTCAACTAAAACATGGACGCATAGTGGTATAAGAGCTATTTTGCTGACTGTATTCACCTTTGTACAGCAATATTGTAAAGCAATGCAATGAAATCTAATAATGGAGCTAGAAAACATTTATAAGACGTCTAATAAAGCATTTTATTAAAGCAATTGAAAACAGTCGAATTAAAGCGACAATGTATGTGAAAATTACACTTATACAGTTTGTTATTAGATCAAACTTCTGGTTCTGAATCAGGAAGACAGTCAACGTTTATAAAGCTTTTAATAAGTAAATTAATCATATCAGAGGAAACGGCGGAATAAAGGCGCATCTATCGATCTCAATGAGCTTTTTTCAGCACATAATTCGACATCTTGTTTTATTCAGCATGGTACACTACTGTTATACAGCATTTATTCAATGTGTATGCTTATTTTTGACTGTGAATTGTTTGTTGGGACTTCAACAGTTATTAATTGAGGAAGTCGAGAAATTTTCCAACCTTAACGGGAATTGAACCCAGCCACCTCCAGCATGGTCTTGCTTTGTAACTGTATCTTTACCGACTGAGTTAAGGGAAATGATTAATGAGCTTCATATTAGCGATTCTCTCTTTCTACATACCAATAAGTCAGCGGTATGAGTAGTGATGCCACATTTTTTCCAATTTTAATCTGTAAAAAATCTTTTTAATCTGTATTTAGCTGATAAAAATCTGTATAATAATCTGTATTCTTCGTAAATGTTCATTCGAAGTTCAGAAAGATATATTTTCAAAGTTAAGAATCTTGAAAATGATTTAAGATTGCTTTCTAAAGAATCTATTTAAATGATCTCTAAATCCTAAATATTGGATTTATTGATTTGTATATTTTCTACAAGTCTAAAAATACAACAAGTTCCAGTAGTGAAAAACAAATCTGAAAATTTATTTACTGAAGTAACAATCATATTTCAGAGTGGCGTTGCATCCACATGTGCAACCTGTGCACGACACAGGTGTAAAAATGCGTTTAGATTTTTATAGATTTTATGGTCGCATTATGACACATGACCACTGGGGAATTCGCAAAAGATTGATATATCAAAAACTCATCATGCGACACCTCAAATCACATTAGAATTTTACTATAAGATCAATATTTCATTCAGACACAATGATCACAATGGCCTCTTTCAGATGTATCAGGTACCCCCGGGAAGTGGACAGATTCTGATTCTTAGTGAAAAAAGGCGATTTGGTTTGGTGCTTGCAGCTGTTCAAAAGCAAGAAACGATTATTTATCGGAATGAATAAATATAATCCAGAGTGTGTTTTTTTTGGCAAGGAGGAAACCTTCAAAAGGCCATCATGTCACCGCTTGACGACCGGACGCGCGGTCGCGGTGACACGGTGTGTGGGAAAACCTCCTTGGACGCCTTGTCCTTTTCCCCCCGGAACCACTTATCGTATTACTTCGGATGGGGGTGTGCATTGCGCACCTCACTTTACCTCAGCTATCTGGCGCTTCCACTTCGCTGACCGTCTCTCCAATTTGTGAGCCATTTAGCTCCCAG